TTTGAAGGTTTCTGACACAAAACAATAAGACTATGGGAAGCAGTATACAATGTATTCATATATTGAAACATCACACAGAGAATACTGTACATAACATGTATAGTTATTACATTAATTAAAATATTTTGTGTGAAAATATTCATATGTAAAAAAATAGGGTTTGGGATATGGCTCAGTGGTAGAACAACTGACTAGTGTGTTCAATGACCTAGGTTCCATGTTCAGTACCAGAGAATAATAATAGACTAAGTCAAATATGCTGCAGTGGAAGACAACAGTAGAAAGACTGAAGCTCAAGTCACGCTTGCTCTTTGCCTGTTTCCCAACCCTTCAGTTCTTCTAGAGACATGGCAAATTCAATTCAGTATAAAAGGACACACACACACACACACACACACACACACACACACACACACACACACACACACACGTGCACGCACGCACGCACGCACCAGTGTGCCACCTACCTGGAGAAGTAGAAAGATTGAAGGAGCACAGAGCATTGGTACCCTTCTATAAGATTCTGTGACAGAAATGTAACTAATACAACCACCATGCCCAAACCAAAATGAATGGGTTTGATGTAGCCAGGAAAAAAGCTATTTGGATGAGGTACATGAAATAAACAACAGAATGCATGCTAAAAACTTCTCCAAAGTCAGGATAGTCTGTTAAATGCACACAAAAGTACTAAGAGAGAATGCTTTCAAGAAAACTGGCACCTAAACATAGAATCCTAAAAGTAACCGACCTTAATCCCACAGGAATAAGCTTCTAATGATGAGATGCCAAGAAGTGGCACAATTTTGGCCACTGTTCTTAACTTGAGTTGTTCTAGAAGCGTGGCAGACCACTAGGGGTATTAAGTAAGAAATCGGTTGTGTGGTGCGTTGTTGTTGTTGTTGAAGTCTTGTTTCTTTTAAAACAATATTCATAAGCTCTATGTTGACAGATGAATTCTACCCAGTTTGCCTCTCTCCTGTGCTCCTCTTCCAGTGGCCTGCCCAGCTCTCCCCTCCACCTCCCTGCATGTGAAGAGACTAATTAAGAACAGACTGGCTCATGTTTCCAAGGGTGAGCTCAACTTTGGACTTTTACTCTAAAGCAGAAGTGAGTTTTCTTTATAAGGGTTTCCTGTTTTGGATCACTATTTATTCCCCCAAATTTGACGTAAAAACCGAAGGGATAAAGTCTAGATGGAAAAAAGAAAGGGAAAGAGGTAAATAACTCTTTACTGATTATTTAAACTTCAGCCCCAAAAGATCCCGTATCAATAGTACTTATTTTCTCGGCATTCACCTCTTCAGGGAACATTTCTGGAGTTGCCTACTCCAGAACTTTATCAGTGCTCTTCACAAACCTGTGAGTGGAATCACCTCCTTACTGTAGCAGCAGGGACATCTGTGGCTTGAGGAACTAAAGTAACCAGGTGACTTTGCTGGTTCAGATTCAAAATAGACTTTTTAGTCACCAGAACTGCTGCTCTTGCTACCAGTCTTGCAGCTGCCTTGCCAGTGGCAGTTGTTGTGGAGACTGTGCTGTGAGCTGTCAAAATATTAACAGAGGTATGCATTCTTGTCCATCAGAGGGCATTTCATTGGTCTAATTTTACCAGCCTATTTATTTAGTGACATAGAAGAAGTTGGCTCAGTATAGACAACGGGTGGTGCATTTGGCTCCTCGCCTAATCCGCCTCAATGTACTTTTGAAGATGCCACTCTCCAAAGCCACTGTTTTACTTACCGAGGAAGTACTGGGAGATTTCCCACACATGTCAGGAGAGAAGAAAACAAGAGGCTTGCTATTGTCATTATTGTTTAACATCTCACTGGGACATTGGCCAAACCAATTAGACAAAGGAAAAAAATGTTACAAAAATTAGAAAAGAAGAGATCAAACATTTCTACTTAAAATAATAGAATTTCACTACACCTGAGAATACATGAGTCAAATGAAGAAATACTACAAAACCCTGATATAAAATAAATAAGCAAATTGAATTCCTTTCTTATATGTAAACAGCTATTAATCAGAACATACAATGGCAGAGAAGATGACCATCTCACAAAACAAGCAAAATGATGATATACATATGTATGATTTATACCAAATATGTAAAGCCTACATGAGAAATATTTTTAATTTTATTTTTAATTAAAATGATATACCATTCCCCTCCTTCTTACCCTCCTAAGTATGCCCTCAGATCATGACCTATTTTTCTTAAAAAATAATCAACATTTAAAAATAAATGTACAACTATAACCTGCTGAATCTGCCTACTTGTATGTATGTGTTTTTAGGACTGACCACTTGGTACTGTGTCACATCCTTGGAGAAGACTAAGTATTTGCTCTTCTTTATTTGTAAACATATGTATTAGACACAATAAGATTTTAAGAAAGAAGGAAATAAATTAAGACCTGAACCATAGGCTGGCAAGATGGTTCAGTAGGTAAAGACTTGGTGACCTGAGTTAGATTCCCTACAGTGGAAGGAGACGACTGACTGCTGGAATTTGTTCTCTGAGCTCAGCATGTGTGCTCATATAACACAACAATAAATATAAAAACACCATTTAAACAGTAGGCCTGAACAAACAAAGAACATACCCTGCCAGTCATTATCACCAAATATCAATTATCCTTAAGCAAAATCGTAATTCTAACATAATATACAATATTTGTTGCCCAAAACTGGATAAGGCTATGGTGTACAGAAAAAAAAATAAGCAAACAGGAATAAAACAGGAGAATTGTATAAAAGAATGTAAGAAAGCATGTCATAACCTCACTAGATATTAAAACATACTTTAGAGCATCAAAAACTAAACTGTCATATTTGTGAATGTATGGAAGAGAATAAAAGCTTCAAATGAACCAAAGTACATATGTTTGTATTTTCTAAATGCAGCTTCCCAAATCAATAGAAGTAGAAATAAATCATGGGATTAATAATGTCTGAAAAGCTGGCTAGTCATTTGTGAAAAGATTAAGTTGAATAAGCCCCTCACATAATATATCAGGACAAAATCCAAATAGATCAAAGATTTAAGTTAAAAGAAAACCATTTAATTACTATACTGGCTGGTTTTGTGTGTCAGCTTGACATAAGCTAGAGTTGTCGGAGAGGAAGGAGTCTCAGTTAAGGAAATGCCTCTGTGAGTTCCAGCTGTAAGGCATGTTCTCAAGTAGTGATTTATGGGGGAGGGCCCATGGTAGGTGGTGCCATCCCTGAGCTACTGGTCCTGGAGTCTATATGAAAGTAGGCTGAGTAAGCCATGGGAAGCAAGCACCCCTCCATGGCCTCTGCATCAGCTCCTGTCTCCAGGATCCTGGCCTGTTTGAGTCTTTGTCTTGCTTCAGTGATGAAGAGCAATGTTGAAGAGTAAGCCAAATAGACCCCTTCCTTCCCCAACTTGTTTTTTGATGATGGTGTTTTGTTGCAGCAATGGAAACCCTAACTAAGAAATTACCAAAATCAAACTTTGAGGCAAATAAAGTGATTTAAACTATTACACACAATCCAGGGGCTAGGGCCAGTAAAATGGCTCTTTGCATAAAAGCGATTGTCACCCAACCTGATGACTGGAGTGTGATCTCCAGCATCTGAATCCACATGGTGGAAAGAGAGAACTGACTCCCATTACTGGTCCTCTGACCTCCACACCCTCACCATAGTTCTCTTTGTATCTCTTATACACACATGCACGCACATACACACACACACCAAATAAAACATAATAAAATCCAGAGACTATTTTTAAAATAATTGAGAAATTTAATTGTACAAAATAAAAAGTTTCCCATGAAACACACAATATAAGCAAAATTAATAGATGGAGGCCATATAGATGAAAATTTTTGTAATTAATATCAATGACATATGAGTAATGTTTGTGATTTTATTTATTTATGTACTTATTGGTTTGTTTGTTTTCTCATTTATTTATTTTGTTGTGCTAGGAATCACACCCAGAAGTTCACATATGCTAGACAGGCACTTTATAACTGGGCTACACATTGTTTAACTTAAAAAACAAATGTTCCAGCCGGGCAGTGGTGGCGCACGCCTTTAATCCCAGCACTCGGGAGGCAGAGGCAGGAGGATCTCTGTGAGTTCGAGGCCGGGCTGGACTGATAGACTCCAAAACAATACAAAGAAACCCTGTCTCGTAAAAAAAAAAAAAAAAAAAAAAAACCAAATGTTCCTAAATGTGAAGGAGGAAAGATAATAAAGTTATTTCAAAGGCCCACACTCCTAAATGGAATTAACGTGCACTAAACATTTTAATGTGAATTAATTGAAGTCTGGGATTATGCTGAGATTTTTTTGTCACATTCCAGTCTGAACATTTTTGTCCAGACTGTGTAAAACCTATGGCACTCTCTTCCATTGCTTTGAGGACTGCAAATCATACAAGCACTGTATTATTTGCTGCACTTCAGAACGAAGTACTCTAGACTGGGTGATATAAATAACAGAAATTCATTTTCTTATAATATCAGAAGTGGAAGTCTGAGCTCAAGGTTTTTACAGGATTTCAGAGATGATGTCGCAAGGCTTCTAGGTGTCCATGTCCTCTTCTCATGCTTTGAAATTCTCAGTGTATTTCTGTTCTCATCTGGATCAGAACTCACTTCAATAACCTTGCTTGAACTTAGTGACTCTTTACATTCTCTTTCAGCTCAACCCCATCCCCAAATTTCTGGAATGATTGACTTTTTGGGTGACAATTCAGACAACAGTCCTTAGGAAAGGAAACCTAGAAATGATGAGTGAAATTAACGTGGCATTACTTTTGATCAGCAACCCCACTTCTGGAGACCTGTTAGAGAGACAGACCTATAGTCACGTAAAATAACATGTATGGCGGTATTTATTTCAGCCCTGTTGCAGCAGAAAGAAAGATTTCAGAGCAATCGAGTACACAGTGGTTTGTCTACACAATTCCAAACGCCACTGTGGAAAGAAAGGAGGAAGCTGTAGGCACTGCCGACGGAGATCTATGGACTGTGAGGTAGGAAAGGCGAGGGGCGAACAGCATAATAGCCTGCTGTCTACATAGAAAAATACATTTGGGTTAGCTTGCATGGTATTTGTAGAAACAATGAATGTAAAACAACTGCAAGAAAAGGGATGGAGCGATTTGATTATTGTTAGGGATATGTAGCGTTGGATGAAGCAGGCAGGGGTAGAAACGAAGCTTTGTGTATTTTCTTGGCTGTATGATTTTCATTTCTAAGTTAGGGACATTCAAAGCAATTGAAAGCACATATGTGACATATATGGATAAAGGATATCTAAGGATAAGGGTATCAGCTTTCATTTGTAAATCAGGTGAATTCAAAATAATCAAGAGAATATTATTTTTAAAGTGTAAAGCAGAGCTAACGTAGCTTCTCAGCTCAGCCAATGGAATCTCTAGATTCTGAGAATGGCTATTCTCAGCTTCTCCAAGTTTCATCAAGTGTTTCCAAATCGCTCTTTTGAAGAAAAGAGGACCACAATTACTTCCTCGCTGTTTTCTTTTTCTTTACAGAAAGGCAGCGTGTTTAAAGTCCAGTTGGATTTCACGTGGACCAAAGAGAAGACTGCCCGGATGCTATTGATCCCCAGCACTCAGCAGTGCAAACGCCCTTGGGTGTGCTTTACTTCAAGCAAATAGAAGTGGGCCCCGCTGAAAGTAGGGATGCCTGGCTGGGGGTGGGGGGACCCAAGTGCTCAGCATCCAGCTGGGAGTGAGATTCCTGGAGAAAGCCCCCTTCCTGTCACAGCACCCACAGCATTCTGATTCTGCTCGCAGCTCAACCGCCTCGCTGAGGATGCTTCATTTAAAAGTGCAGTTTTTGGATGATTCCCAGAAGATTTTTGTGGTTGATGTAAGTGGAAATCACGTCGCTATTATTCCTTTATTATTCATTCAATAATGGACATTTGTGGACAGCCCATTAGCCAGGGATGTTATGTCTTCTTTAGAACCGAATGAAGGACTGTGGTTTTTAGATTTGGAAAATAAGTCTGTATTTAATGTCACGATGTGGCTCATGTTTTCCCATTAACCTTTCTTCTAGAACATGCTCTCTTTTCTCAAGGGACATTGAAAACAGATTTGAAAAATATGCTAAATATTTGTGAAAAGGCAGCAACTTAGTTCTACTAACCAATAAAGCATTATTGTTCATTGAAATATTTATCTGTTAGTCTGAGGTGGGTTCTGAGGGAAATGAGAGGGGAAAGCTGCCTTCCTTCTCTGAGGAAAACCTATGGGTTATGGGGGACAGAGTTACAGTTCTAAAGAGAACTTCAGGAAGCAATGACACGAATGAAGGAGAAAAATAGGATAAGTGGCGATTTAGTTTGGTTTAATACTTAGAGTTCAGAGTTCTTAATATAATTTCTAGCTACAGGATGATTGCATACAATTATACCTCATCTCTTCGACAAACAACAAATCTAGTTCTCAAGCTCTAGCATCCTAAGATCCGTGCAATTTGATGTCAGGATTTTTATTTGAGCACTTTGAAAAGGTCTACTTTTCTTTTTATTGGAAGCCAAAGTGTTGTTTCCTGTGATATTTACATAAGCTACTAACAAGGAACAAACAGTTCATTTTCCATGAAATTCATACAAGGACGTTGTGTGCTTTTTTTCCTTTTACACATATACTGACAACGACTCTAAGCTCAGCCGTGATGCATGGTGTGAGGGCATCCCATTTTTCCAGTGAAGATTTCATTTTGATTTGAATCGTGTTATGTTGGTGATGACTTTCTGACTTCAGCTACTATTTTGCTGTCTCTTCCTTTCAGTTTTCTGTGCAAAAGGCATTTCTAGTTCCACGCACCTGAATAATTTGTTTTGTAGCAAATGGATTCCATTAGAGTTATGGGGCACTTCCTATTCTTTCTTGGAAGTATATTTGAGGGGTGGAAAATGTCTTTTGAGTAATTTGTCCATTTGCAAGCTGGTGGTGGACTGGTACAGTGCTCCAGAACCCAAATTACTGAGCTGTATTCTAAGGATATTGCTTTAGGCTAAGTTTTTAATAGATACTTCAGGCGTCTCAAAGAGAAATCCTTGACAAAAAGTGACAGAAGAGTTTTATGAATGTGAAGTTCTAATTCAGAGCCAATTATATGGGGAGTGGGGAGAACGGCTGTGTAGCTGCACAGAATTCACCTCCCTAGGAGCCAATTCCAGCAGCTTGAAGCCAGCTCGGTTTGGCTTCAAGTCAGATTGTCTCTTTCCAGCTGCAACACATTGTGTTCTTGGAAAGATAATGGGGGAGATTTGATACCCAGCAATTCAGGTGTCAAAGCATCCGAACCCTTTTGCTCTGTGGAAGGCTGCACCATGCATAGCGGTCATGGTGCCTTCCTGAGTGGGAACAGCAGCTTTCTTGTGAGGGAACAGAATATGACTTAGCATCTGGACATCTAACACGACAGTGTTTCCTTACTAACAGTATGCACAGTGATGACGGTGGCAGCGGTGGTGGTGGTGATTAGAGCAAGGTTGCTGGCTAGCTTATGTACTATCACAACATAGTATATAAATACAGAGTGGGGTTTTGAATTTGGATCCCCCAATTCTTTCCTTTTGCAACTGGATTCAGAAAATTCATCTGTCAGTAGTTGTCTAGGCCTGAAACATTGCTCACAAACATTATTTTGTATTGTTCCTATAGGATATATAATTTAGCACACAGTGAACATCCGTGGCTTTTGTAAACCATTAGCAGGTCTTTCTTTCCTTATCCATGGAAGAAGATGTATGCAGCAAGATGGTCCCTGGAAATCAGGGGTGCCATAATGAAAGATTGTTCACTAATTGTGATGCATATGAGCAACAGAAGTAGCAAAATCCTATGGCCTCCAAAGTGCTGGGATTAGGGGTCATCATCAGCTACATGTTGAGTTTGAGGCCAGTCTGACTCAAAGCCACAAACAGAAAAGCAACTTGAAAAAAGGTCTCCTATATTAGCAATTTTTAAATATGTTAAAGCAATGCATGGAATTAAAATGAAGTATATTCATAGCTGAGGAAAGCCATGTGATAGGGTTTCTGATAACAAATTGAAGTCTGAAGAGGTTTGGATCTTTTCCAGGGAAGATTGTCCTTTAAAGATAACATTCAAGAAAATAATTCATTGCACAAGCTATAACAGTGGCCAAGTAGGCATCTGGTTCAATTATATAGCAAGTATAGCAGGACAAATATAAAAAAGGACATATTATCAGATAGAATAATGTAATCCAAAAAAGGTTAATAAAAATTCAAAAACATTTATCCAAACTCTAGTGGCATTATCTTTATCATATTCTCAATACTCAAGATCCATCTCAGGCCTGGAGATTGAGAAGCCCGATTTGTTAACACTCCCCAAGAACTGAAATCAAAGACTGGTTATAAATCCTCAATGCCAAGGTCACCATTTACAGTGAGATTATGTACACTAGAATCTTCTAATTAAACACTGAGAAGGTCAAATGATGTCAGAAAGTCAGGTCTGAGGAATTTGATATGCAGCTCTAATATTTAACAGGTTGCTAAGGCATCTGTAGTGACCAAAGCCCTATTATTGACACTTATTAATACTCATTCATTAATGTGGCTATTTAGCTAAAATTATTATTGAGGATCTTGGAAGTTCAAGTCCTGTTCTGTGCACGACTGACTCTACCACAGAGCTAGATAAAGTTCTTTGAAGCAGGGGTACTAACTTGGCCTGAGCGACTCCTTTTCCCATTGTTGAATTGTTGATGTGATTAGTGTGAATTTGTCCTGTTCTTTCTTTAGCTTGTTAATCCCTTTAGTTAGATTATTAGGAAAAACATCTGACTCCAGAGGCATCCTGTTTGTTTGATGTTTCTTTGCTCTAAGGCAATGTGTGTTGATTTTACAGATGCAGCGACTGAAAATATTAGTCAGCCGTTTCCACTGTGATTTTACAAGAGTGTTGAGGGAGTGTGGGCAAGGCAGAGAACTTTAGCACTGTCAGAATGTGCCTGCTAAGGTACGATTCTAGGAGAAACACAGAGTGAGAATCTCATCCTGTTTCTCAAGTCCCCATATATATTTCATAAAACTGATCATTGTCAACTTCTGGCATCAACATTAGGTCTGCTGTTAACATCCTTTGAATGACGAGAGTAATGTCATATGGTTCAAAAAGTGATTACAAGTTTTAGTGTAAATTTGGTTTTGCTTCTTCAACGAAGAACCAGAAAAAAGAAGAAAGAAAGGGTATGACTAATGATAAACTTTCCTGGGCTGTGACAATAGAGGTTTGGTTTTGACGCTGACTCCGATCCCCAATATACTTCCCATATACATACCAGCAGGAGAGATGGGTGTCTCTGTAGTACAACTTCCTTATAACTGGAGCTGTTTGCTCCATTTAGGTTTAGATGGAGAGCTTTAGAAAACAACTATCCTATCACCACAATCGGTCTGACCTCTACACACTCCCTTCCTCAGCTGCATTCTTGTCTTCATTGAAGCTATTGTTTCTGGATTTTCTAAACCACATTTCAGTTGATAGTTTCTAGACATTAAAGTCCAAACAAGAGGTTGAAATACCTCTGCTTTTACGTTTATCTGATTGCTAGGTGATCTTGCAGGCCATCCAGTGATTTCACAGTAAGAGAACATAGTGAATCAGCTCATCTGATACCCTGGGGAGCCCACAACAAAGGCCACTAGGTCTCATTTGCTAATGAAGACAAAGGGTAGGCTGTGTCTAGACTGAGCATTATCTAAGGCAAATGGAAAAGCAAAGAACTGCCCAGTGATTTTTTTTTAAAAATCAGTAGTGGAATTTACTTTACAAATACTTGTCTAGGGGTTTCTTTTTCCATTTGTAGTGATGAGGGAACTTTTGCAAATTGCTCAATAGTGAATTGGACAAGCTCTTATCCCACATTACAAGTCCATGTTTTTCCAACTTCAGTGACAGGGATTGCTCTGTTATAATAAAATGCACCTGGATTTTAGGCTACAAAACCGGTAATCTTAGGCCAGTCACGTATCCTCTTTGATCTTCAGTTGTTGTGAGGAGTAACGTAAATGTGATAATGTTTATCTGAAGTCTGATAAGCTGGGATAAACTGGAATCTGCACTTACAAGCCGTGGGGCCTTGAGGAGCTTATCTGAGTCTCAGCTGACTCACAACTGCCAAAAGCTAGACTAAAAAACACCAGGAAATTTTCCCTCAGAGAATAAGCTATTTAGGTTGTTGAGTAGGAGGACACTGAAAGCAAAAAGTGGGAGCGAGAAGGAAGGGCAATGGTGATATTTGCGAAAGAAAATATGAAGATTGATATGTAAAAGAGAACAGAATATGGTCTTTTCACAGAAGGAAAGGGACGGTTTGATAGGTGGAGTGGAAAGGAAGACAGGGATTGGCTGACAAATCAAGGTTCAATAGTGATTACATTGTTCAGGCAATATAGTCTACCTGTGATGAGTCTGAGCTATCTTCTGAAGGTGATGGAGAATTGTGCTAGTACCTACTTAGTTTATTAACTTATCTGTTCCGTTTCTCAACTGATATTTAATAAAAGATGTGTTCTAAGTACCTGAGATAGCAGGTGGAAACTGGGTGGTAACATCAAGTTTACTAGCGCCAATTTTACATGGTCTAAGCACTTTCTAAGAAATATAAGCCCAAACATCAGTATTCTAGCCTGATACAGACTGAAGGAGTTAACAACATCTAATCTTGAAATAAGCCAGACTGGTTGGTCAATTGATTATTTCAAACTGAAATCACTAGAGGACATGTAACTTCGGGAAGGGCCATTTGGCCTGTGTTTTCTACATGCAGCAAGTCATAATGATCATTCAGAAGGGATGGCCTTCACATACCAAAGCTGG